GCTGCCCTCCCTCTCCATTGCCACCTATTGGTGGAGGTCACAGAGACTTGTTCAGCATCCTTGCTCTGTGCCCTCCACCACAGTCACCACCAGCAACTGGAGGTTTAAAAGAGGTGTCTAATGTAATGGATGCATTGGTATTAGTTTTCCACATTTCTATAGATTCAGGAAACCTCCCATAGTTCAGGAAAATAGCAAAAGTAACCATTCTGTTACAGAAAGGAGGGAGAAAATAGGAAACTTTAAGCTAATTAGCTTGACTTCTGTTTTGGGGAAGCTGTTCGAATTGATCACTGATGAGATCATAGCTGAATATTTTGAAAACACAGGTAATCAGGAAGAGTCTTGTGAAGGAGAGATCATGTTTAACCAATTTATTGAAGTTCATTGAAGGAGCAACATAAGCTGTGAATACAGGGAAGTCTATAGACATAACATTCTTACGGGGAAAGGTGGCTTCCACCTATGTCCAATAATCCAGAAGCCTAAGTTAATGGTCTGGGACATGTGTTCAAATCCCACCACAGCAGATGAAGTAATTTGAATTCAATTCATAAAATCAGGCATTTTAAAAAGCCAGACACATGTACTTGAATTTCCAGAAGGCATTTGACAAGGTGCCACATAAGAAGTTACTGTGGAAAGTAGGAGTTCATGGAGTAGGGGGTAACATGTTAGCATGGATGGAAGTTTGGCTGGCAGAAAATATAGAGAATACATAGTCAAAAATAGAAATTGCTGGAAAAGATCAGCAGGTCTGGCAGCGTCTGTGGAGAGAAATCAGACTTAACGTTTCGGGTCGAGTGACCCTTCCTTAGAAATGATATTGCCATGAGGACATAAATAGGATACAGATGGATATGAGAGTGGACAGAAATCCAGCAGATGGGAGCATAATATAGGAAAACAAGGAGTTGTTGAAGGTGCTGAATGTCTTATGTTCTGTGTGCCACACTTTAGGAAAGGCAGGATGACATTCGCGAGACTATTTTAAAATTCACTCATGGGATGTGGACATTGCTCTGTCCAGCATTTATTGCTTGTCCCTAGTTGCTCTTGAGAAGGTGGTAGTGTGCTGCCTTCTTGAATCACGACAGTCCATGTGCTGTAGGTAGACCAATTATACTGTTAGGGAGGAGTTCTAGGATTTTGATCTAATGACAATGAAGGAATGACAATATATTTCCAAGTCATGACGATGAGTGGCTTGAAGGAAAACTACTTACCATCCCACCAGCATCCACATCCAGAAGATCATCAGACGCCATTTCCGCAACCTCCAGCAAGATGCCACCACCAGACACATATTCCCCTCCCGTCCTTTGTCCACCTTCTGCAGGGACTGTTTCTTCCGGGACACTCTGGTACATACTTCCTTTATCCCCAACAAACCCCCACGGCCCTACGGCACCTTCCCCTGTAACCAGCGAAGGTGCAAAACGTGCCCATTTACCTCCTCCCTCCGCAATATCCAAGGACCCAAACATACCTTCCAGGTGAAGCAACAGTCCACCCGCACTTCCCAGAATCTAGTCTACTGCATTCGCTGCTCACAATGTGGTCTCCTCTACATTGGGGAAATGAAGTGTAGACTGGGTGACCGCTTCACAGAACATCAGCAGAACGTTCTGCTCGCAAAAAAGACCCTGAATGAACTGTTGCCTGCCACTTTAACGCACTACCCTATTCCCTGGCCAACATCTCTGACTCTGGCTTGCTGCAGTGTTCCAGTGAAGCTCAACACAAGCTGGAAGAAAAACATCTCATTTTCCGCTTGAGGACCCTGCAGACCACCGGACTCAATATTGAGCCTGCCATTACACACCACCTGTTGTTAGTCACCAATAGTCCCCATTAACAACTATTCACCCTCCCAGCCTTTGTCTATCAACTCTTTGTCTATCCAACTGCTCTTCTCTCTCTTCAGGCTCTATCTTATCATTTACTCCCTACCCCAACCCTCTCCCTTTTCTCTTCACATAAACTGACGTTTTCCCAGCCACCATCAGTTATGAGGGTCACCGGACCCAAAACATTATCTCTATTTTTGCCTTCACAGATACTGCCAGACCTGCTGAGCTTTTGCAGCAACTTTGTTTTTGTTCCTAATTTACAGCATCTGCAATTCTTTCGGTTTTTATGTTGTTGATGTTGAATGAAAACTTGTTGCTGATGGTAGCTTTCCATGTATCTGCTGTCTCAGTCCTTCTAGACAGAAATGGTTGTGGATTTGTAAAGTTTAAGGACCCTAGGTGAATTTTGCAGTGCACCTTGTAAATAGTACACACTGCTGCTACTGAGTGCTGGTGGTCGAGGGAGTGGATGTTTATGGATGTGGTGCCAATCGAATGGGTTGCTTTGTCCTGGATGGTGCTAAGCTTTTTGAGTGCTCTGAGTTGTACTCCTCAAGGGATGTGGGGAGTATTCCATCACAATCCTGACTTGTGCTTTATAAATGGTGGACAAGCTTTGGAGAATCAGATGAGTTACTTACTGCAATATTCCTGTTCTTGTAGCCACTGTATTTGTATGGTGAGTCCAGTTGATGGTTAATGGTAGCCCCCAGAATGTCAATAGTAGGGGATTCAGTGATGGTAATGCCATTGATTAGTTAGTTTTGTGGTTAGATTGTCTCTCATTGGAGATGCTAATTGTCTGGCATGTGTATGATGTGAATGTTACTTTTCAGCCCAAGCTGGTCTTGTTGCATTTTGACATGGACTGCTCAAGTATCTGCGGAGTCACGAATGGTGCTGTACCTTGTGCAATCACTGGTGTGCATCCCCAATTCTATACAGCATAAAAACCAAAAGAATTTTATACCTTATGTCAAGGGCTGTTGCTATCACCTCGCCTATGGAATTCAGCTCTTTTGCCCATATTTGAACCAACGCTGTAATGAGGTCAGACACGAAAGAGACGTGGTGGAACTCAAACTGGGTATCAGTGAGCAGGTGCTGCTTGATAGCACTGTTGATGACACTTTCCATCACTATACTAATGATTAAGAGTAAATGATGATCGAGACTGCAGAAAGGAATCATGAGAATGGTTCCAGGAATGAAAAACTTCAATTAAATAGGTGGACTGGAGAAGTTGGGGCTGTTTTCTTCAGAGAAGTTTGACAAGAGATTTAATTGAGGCATTCAAAATCACAAGCAGTCTGGACAGAGTAAAGGGAAAAATAAGTGCTATTTGTAGAGTTGTTCGAGGGCAAGATAGCACAGATTTAAGGTATTTGGAAACCAAGTAAAGGAGACATAAAGTGAGTTTTCATACAGCGAGTGACTGGGATCTGATATGTACAGGCTGAGAGTGATGAAAACAGATTCGATAATGTATTTAAAGAAGGAATTGGATTTTAATTTGAATATGCAGATCCTTGGGGAAAAGACAGGGAAGTAGCAATGGATAACTTGCTCCATTAGACAATCATCACAGAAACATTAGGCAAAATGGCCTACTTCTGTGATGTAATAATTCTGTGATTCTGATTACTCATTTTGCTAATCCACATAATCCTCCAGGTTGTCCTGAAGTGTACAGAAGTGAATGCTTGATATCCTGACCACTGTTATGAGAAACAGGAGAAAAATCACTGAGGCATCAAGAACAATTTTTACTTTAATCTCATTACAAAAAACCTGTTTAATAGTAATAAATGTGCTGGAACTAGGAGGTGGACAGAGGTAATTGAATGGGTGATGAAGAGGCAACAGGGAGTCATATCATCTGACATTTACTGATCAGAGCTGGCAACCTTATTAATCAGCCATCACTGTCGTGTAAGGCCTTAAGGACCATGGAGCAAGCATGCAATTATATTACAGGGCTCCACATTACTGAGTACATGATGTGGTTGGAGTCTAGAATGATAGTCTAGAAAGCACATGGACATGAACACATATGGAAGAGGTTAGTCTGTATCTCCTATACAAAGTCTGGTGGATTTGTGATTGCCATGTACAGCAGTACTTAGTTCAGTGTATAATAAATAATGCCACTTTGAAATCTAAGCCTGAGACAGGCTTTGATTTTGCCTTCTTCTCCTCCAGTCTGTCTTGAACCCAAACTCATTGTATGTGAGTCCCCAGTGTGGAAACAAGCCATTCGGCCCATCGAGTCCACACCGACCCTCTGAAGAACATCCCACCCAGACACACTCCACTAACTTTTGTAACTCTGCATTTCCCATGGCTAATCCACCTAGCTTGCATATCCCTGGACAATTTAGCATAGCCAATCCACCTAACCTGCACATCTTTGAGTTGTGTTAGGAAACCGGAGAAGACCCATGCCGAAACGGGGAGAATATGCAAACTCCACACAGTCAGGCTGGGATGAAATCCCGGGTTCTTTACGCGGTGAGGTTTAAATTTTAGCTTAATTATTTCGTTTGCAAGCAATCGCTCCTTTCCTAGGTGCGTATTCATTACGGATAGCCTGGCTAAGGATGTGGTTTTGTGCAACAGAGTCCAGCCGGCCAGTTCTGGAAAAAGTCACGTGACTCAGTTGGCGACACTGAGCTACGCTATGGCACGCCCCGCGGTCGTCGGATGATGTCACCCCCCATCATCATCATCATCACCATCACCAGAACACATTGGCGCGTTTCTACCCACATTGCTCAATGAGAATTGAGAACTGTGCGGCCGGGATCCCCAAAGATCTGCATATTCAGATTAAAATCCAATTCCCTCTTGAAATACGTTATCGAACCTGCTTTCATCACCTTCAGCCTATAGATATCAGATCGTCCTCCTTCGTACTGGAATTGACAGCAACCTTTTTTTGATTTGATCTTGAAATCTCTCCCCTCTCAACACCATCCCGGATAGTGTTTCACGGGTGCGGGTGGTAAAACAAAAGGTGGCGCCGCACGCATGCGCAGTTGGTAGGCGGGATGCGCATGCTCGACGAAACGGGTGCGCGCGTAGGTATTATCCACAGATGCGACGTCAGGCCACGCCCCTCTCGGGTGCGCGCTGCATGAGAGCGAGGCTGCAGCCGGGAGACGCCGGTTTAATGGCGGCCATGTTGGATCGGAAGTAAAGTGAAAACGAGAGAGGGGTCAAAAATAATACAGAAAACTCTCCAGTCAGGAACGGAAACTGGTGGCCGCTGTTCGGCAGAGGAACGTTACCCGCTGATCCGGAGGACAAAAGAAACCCACCACTTTTATAGGAGAAGAGGGGAAGTTTGACTTGTATTTTTTAATTGCCCCCCCGATACAATATATAAAAAAGGACAATGGCGGATCCGGCAGAGTGCAGTATAAAAGTGATGTGCCGTTTCAGGCCGCTAAATGACTCCGAGATCCAACGCGGGGACAAATATATCTGCAAATTTCAAGGGGGGGAAACCGTGGCGGTTGGGGTGAGTGTTTTATTTTTGGTTCCCTGTGCTGTCATTCTTCGTGTGTTTCTGAAGCTGGATTCTGTTCAGTTTTTTTTTGCGTTAATATCGGCTATTCAAGTTTGAGACGTGAGTGATTCTCCCTCTAATTAGCAGTAGGAGATTTGAAAGGGATTGCGGCTGTTTCAAAAAAAAGTGCGTTCATCTGTCAAGGCGTCTCCCCGAAGTGCGCCTGTTGTTTCAAAACTTCTCCCAGGTTCGCCACTGCTTTGCCTTGGTGTTTTATCTCCTCAGTATAAATCATAATTTATTTCACTGTCGAATTATTGGAAATTGCCACGTCTTATTTTGGAGCCATTGGGAGCATAACGGAGGGTGTGGAATTTTAAATCGACAAAAAGGAATCGTAAATCTTTTCATCTGAGTAATTCTTTAGTGCTTCAGGCGAATGGGATGAGCTATATATTGACGTTCGGGAGGATCTTTTCCGAATCCTCTTTTGGAGGGTGGGTGTAATAATTATTATAATTCAATACTGTGTGTTTTGTCACGATCATAATTGTTAAAAAGGCAAGTTCGTTCATTGATTAATTAGAAGTTGAAGTCAATTTGGTAGTTGTGAACTGCTTTTGGATTGAGATTATGGTAATCTCATGGTATATATCGAAGTTGAAGTCCTAACTAGTTCAGATATACTATTGACCTGGAGTGATTTTATTTCCCTCCCCACCCTAAAAGTTGTAATTAGTCATGATGTAATTTCAGCAGTGTTTTAATGGGTGTAGATGGGCAAATATTGAGTAGGAAATATGTTTTAAAAGTTTTTATATATTGGTGAGTTTGGTAAATACTTATCTCTGTTGTTTTATGGTCTTTGTTTGGCTTGGAACTGCAGTGTAAGAATCCTACTCGCGGGTTATCATGCAAGAAATCATCACTTGACTTCTGGAATCCTGTTTTTTTTCCCCCAAAGTTTCCTCGAACATCAGAATTTAAGCAGCATCTGTTTTCAACAAGGCAAGCTGATGTTAGATAAATTCTGAATTGCTTGACATCTGTACAGAAATTCATTTACAGGTCTGTGAAACAGAGGCTATCATTTTCAAGGTGCCACCTGTTAAGCAGAGTTACTAGGATGCCTGAAGCCTTAAAGATTCTTTTTAGATGTCTAAAAACAGAAAATGCTGGAGAAACTCAGGTCTGGCAGCATCCCTGGAGAGTTTCAATGTGAATTCTCTTGAACTTTTATAATTTTGTGTCATTTACTGTTTAAAGCATTGGAAATTGAACGCTAATGTAAAATCTCTGAATTTGAATATATTTAGGGCCTCTTTTGAATTCTCAGAACAATCAAGTTTAGTTCCCAAGAAAATATGCCCGACACATTTGATCTGAAGAACCTTTACGTCACTTCTGACCTAATGAAATAAAAATCTGAACGAAATGTGAGTGTTGAACAATGCGTCTGTAATGACTGGTGACTTTTCAAAAAAGAGCTGGCCCAGTGGACAGTGATATTAGAAAACCATGGACTAATGTGCCTTTAAAGCACAGTGAAATAGTTAAAGTAAACCTGGTTAAAAACTGTACTTTTATTTCTGGGTTAACTCAGAGGTTAATGTACAATCATCTCTTCCTGTCATGTCAGAATGTTTAAAGAAAGGTGACCTGTCAACTAACAAAGAAAATACGGTGAATGCTCAAAATCTGAAATAACAATGCCAGAGAAACTCAACAAGTCTGGTAACATCTCTGGAGAGAAAAAAACAGGGTTAATGTTTAAAGTCTGATATGATTCTTCATTTCTGAAGTAGTCATATCAAATGTGAAACATTAACTGTCCTTCTCTGAGCAGAGATGTTGCCAGATCTGCACAGTATTTCCAGCATTTTCTGTTTTAGATACTTTTAACCAATCTTTTCAGACATGTTTATAATGCACATCTGGAGCAAGTGAGACCCATGCCTCCTGACTCCGAGGTAGGGGCACTGCCACTGTGCCACAACATCTTTAGGACTGTTACACGTCCCCTTGGGCTAAGATACTTGCGGCACTGGTTGTGGAATAACTTTCTGAAAATGTATCTCCAAAATTTTGAAACCTCATACTGACTTATTTTGTCACTAAAATGGTCTCATTTATGTAAAATATATATTTTGTTTTGGGATAGAACCTTGGGGGAAAATAAATCAACCCAAGAACTATTATAATCTGATTTGTCCCTCAAATATTTTTCTGCAAGATCAAAACATGTAGGAATTTTAAAATTTTTATTCACTCCTGAGATATGGGCGCACTGGCTGGCCAGCATTTATTGTCATGTCATTTCCTGGTTGCCTTTGAACTGAATGCTTGCTAGGCCATTTCAGAGGGCAGTTGAGTCAATCACAATGCTGTGGGTCTAGAGTCACATGTAGGCCAGACCAGATGTTATTAGTGAACCAGATGGGGTTTTCTGACTATCGACGATGGTCATCAGTAGATTCTTAATTCCAGACTATTATTGAATTCAAATTCTACCATCCGCCATGCTGGGATTTGAACCCTGATCCCCAGAACAATAGCTGAGTTTGAGTCTAGTGATAATACCACTAGGCCATTGCATCCCCTTGACCACCATTAGTAATTGATTGTCATCATCAGTAGTTTCCCCACGTTGTTAGTAGACTGTCTGCACAAGCTGCTGTAGCTAGAGTTTTTGTGTGGTATCAGCAGAGGAAGCTGTGCAGTTCTGATGTTTGGCATTTTTATAATCCCTTAAGCTTGTCCCAAGGTGTCAATTGTGTTTATACAACTTGAACTATCAGTTTCTATCTGGAAAATACAAAATGAGATGTTTTCTTCATGTGAGAGGTCAGAACTCACATGATACCAGGTTATAGTCCAACAGATTTATTTGATATCACAATCTTTCAGAGCACTGCTCTTTTGTCAGGTGAACTGTTACAATAAGCTGAATGTTCCTTCAACATTTTTCTGCGAGAACAAAACTGTTTCTTTACATGTGGGAATTGACCACCATTAGTGACTTCATCTGACGAAGGAGCAGTGCTCCAAAAGCTTGTGATTTGAAATAAACCTGTTGGACTATAACCTGGTGTTGTGACTTCTGTCCACCCCAGTCCAACACCGGCTCCTCCACATTATCACTTCTTTATGTATATTATAAAGAATCACTGTATCCCTATAAAGCAGCTTTACTTTGGAGTAAAGAGATAACAAGGTGTAGAGCTGAATTAACACAGCAGGCCAAGCAACATCAGAGGAGCAGGAAAGCTGACGTTTCGCTTTCTGGCAAAATGTTCAAACTTATTTTTAAAAAAAAAACTTGTTCATCTTAACTTCTGAGCTGAATCTACTTTTTTTCAAAATTAATTCACATGTTAGGACAAATTTTAAAGTTTGACATTATTCTTCTACTTTTCCTACCCTTACACTAAAATTAGTGCCTGGTGCGTTGTAGAGTTCTAGTAGCCTTCAACTGTCTATTCATACTTGAAAACTTAAATAGTAATATCACCATGCTGTTCAATTTTGAGGTTGTTGAAGTTGAGCAGGATCTGCTATTAACACCTGACTCTTCCCTCCATGCATGCATGTTGCCAGCAAGGATTACTTAATAGAAAACATTATCGGAATTCTATTTCATTTTAATCTGCCATCTTTTTTCCAACTTGGGCCACTAATACTAATTGTGCTCCCACTGATTATTTGAAGAGTTTCATACCTGATTATATAGATAAATTGAGATATACAGTGATCTGATTCTCACAACTGTATTGTTTGGTGTTGATATTGAACAATGGCCTGGTTAACTCTTAAGCCTACTAATGGATTGGTATAACTACACAAGGCGGTCTGGACAAGGTCAGTCTGCCTCTTTTTCACCTTTCCTTTAGGCCTTCTGTGGGTAAACACATCCTGCTTTTGAAGTTTTTTTTGTTCAGCCATCTGGTGTAATTGGTTGGATTGTTGCCTGTGGTTAAAGTCTGTTTGTTTGTGCCCCACATTAGGATTTGAGCCTCCATCCAGTTTGTAGAAGTTCCCACTTTATTCAAAAATAAATGTAGAGGCCTATAGCACAGAAAAAGGTCTTTCTGCCTATAAAGTCTTTGCTTGTCAAAAACAACTCCATACCTATTCTAATCCTCTTTTCCAGCACTTGGCCTGTAGCGTGGTAGGTCTTGGCATAGCAGGTGTACTTCTAACATGTTATGAGTGCTTCTGGTTCTACCACGCTTAAAGGCAGCAAGTTCTAGATTCCTACCAACGCTGGGTCGGGGGGAAGAAAGCATTGTTCACAATCCCTCTAAACCTCCTGCCCAGTACCTTTAAATTTATATCCTGGTCATTGATCCTTCCAAGAAGAAAAGTTTCTTCCTGTCTATTCTTTTTATAAAACATTAAACGATCATCTTGTCAACTGGTTCTGAGAATGTTAAAGATATTGAGCTGATTTGAAAAGAGAGTTTGCGCATTTCCAGATGAAATTTTCTCCTTGCAACCAACATCAAAAACTGATTATTTTGAGATCACAGCAGGGAAGAGCTTTTGGGAAGTATATCTTAGTTACATGATTAGCTCAAACTTGTATTTGGTTGACAAAATTGGAGTTAAAAAAACTTTAAAATTGAGTGGAAAGCATATATTGGATACTAATTCCATCTAAAAACAAGGTTTTCAAACTCTGCACATTTCCATGTGAAATTGAGAATAATTTGCAGTTTAGGCATGGATGATCTGTCTTTTGTTTTGACTTGATCTCATGAAATAAAGCTTAGATTCATCTAGCTGTTGGATTTTGCAGCTCTTTCCTATTTCCTGCAGCTACAGCACATCACATGGTGAATAGGGAGGAGGACCATTTTATCCATTGTAGTTTATCTAACTGAAAAGATTTTAGCTCTGCTCGTTAGCCATTCTAATAGTCATTTCTGAGTGTTTTACATATTGTGCACAAATGAACTCCTTTTGGGTTCAAATTCCCAAAAGGTAAATTTGCCTCCTTTTTGACCTAGTGT